GAAATAAGATAAACTTCTTTTTCTTTTGGGGAGGTGATTTGAGACAGGGTCTCTCTAAATAGTCCTGGCACTCACAATACAGACTAGGCTGGGCTCAAACTCAGAGATTCACCTTCTTCTGCCTCCCAAGTACTAGGATTAAAGGTGTGTGCCACCTGGTCCAGCTCAATATAAAAGTCTTAAAACCAAAACTCATATCTATTACTACAAGTAATACTTGTAGTAATAGATATGAACTTTAATATATATATATATATATATATATATATATATATATATATATCGAGAGAGAGAGATTTTAAAATCTCTACACAGAATAAGTTAAGAAGTGATCTGAGATAATATATACAACCATATATTAGAAAAAGTAGCTTGGACCTCTTTACATTATAAAAGAAGAAAGCAGTTGGGGCCATTCCTAAATCCCTTCTGGAGCCATACTTCAGTCACAGAACCCAGAGTCATATTCTAGAGTTGTATAGCTACAGATTACAAACAGAACCCTCTAATATCACCATCCCTGAACTCCCTCTCCTACTGCCATTACAACTGCCACTGTGTATAGCAATACCTATTATTGGCACAATTTCATCCGTGTAAGAGGCACCAATCAGATGAAAGAGAAGAAAACTGACCTTGACAATTCATATGGGAAGCCTTTCTACCTTCTCATATTGGAGAGTAAACAGAATGACCAAAAGGGCTATGTGTAGGAGCTGCAGAGATGGTACAGCAATTAAGAGCAGAGACTGCTCTTTCCAGAGGTCCTGAGTTCAATTCCCAGCAATCACATGGTGGCCCACAACCATCTATAATAGGACCTGATGTCCTCTTCTGGCCCTACAAGTATACATGCAGAACACTCATGCATAAAATATAAACAAATAAAATTTAAATTAAAAAAACATTTAAAGCCATATAAGATCCATCTCAGGATGATCCTGAACTCCAAAGAAGAAACTGCTCCTATCCATTACTATGACTGACTGAGCAAAAACATGGGCCTGCCCAGGCAAATGGGGCACTGTTACAGTGAGCAAATAGGTGATGTATTATGGAGGGGCTCTGAAGCAGGAGGATTCCCAATGTCAGTGAGTGCCAAGCCAGCCTGAGCTATAAAGTAAAGCTATTCTTTCTCTTTTTTAAAAAATTTTGAGCCGGGCATTGGTGGCACGTGCCTTTAATCCCAGCAATCAGGAGGCAGAGGCAGGTGGATCCCTGTGAGTTCGAGGCCAGCCTGGTCTACAAGAGCTAGTTCCAGGACAGGCTCCAAAACAATACAGAGAAACCATGTCTCAAAAAAGCAAAATAATAATAATAATTTTTTATTGATTCTTCGGTAATATCACAGCATGCACCCCAATCTCATTCATCTGCCAGTCTTCCATGCCCACCCTCCACCACTGTAGCCTCCCCACAAAGAAAATAAACAAATAAATGTAATTTTAAAATAACTTCTCTCCTCCATCTTTCCTGCCACTTTATCACATATCCATTTGTTGTAGTAGCCTTGGGAGCTGCTGGGCACCACACAGTATGCCCTTTTGCCCTAACAGCTTCATTTACAAATATTTATTACAATGACCTGTTGGCATGGTTCAAGGTCTCTGGCTTCTGGTATACCATCAACACTGGACCCTCTATGAGACTCTTGTTGGATATCCTGCTGTTGCTCTCAGTTGTGGAGATCTGGTTGCAAAGGACCAGTCCCTTCACCAGCTCCAGCAAATGGGGTAGATGTTAGGGTGGATAAACTCCTTTCAGCCCTGAAAATGGGCCTGGGTGGTAGCTGAATTGCCCTCCAAAACTACCCCCTTCAGAAGAGGGTCAGAACCAGCTTTCAGGCATCTTCAGGGCCAGCTTTTCTAAACACACGGTAAGGGATGGGGCCTGCTCTCCCGTTGCTGTGACCAGTTATCCAGAGCCCAGGCCAATGGGGTCAGCTCTCCCATGGCCTCTGGTGATAACACTGGCCATAAGCATCAACACAGATCCCAGCTGTAGGAGAGCCATGGACCCAGACATGGCCCTGGGTCTCAGTTCAGCCTCGGTGGTAACAGGCCATGGACATCAACACAGATCTCAGCTGGGACAGGACCAGGGACCCAAAAATGACCCCCTGATAATCACAAGGCCTCGAGTGGCACTGTAAGCCACATACATCAACCTGTTTCTCACCACTGTCACATTTTAGTTCCAATACTCTCTCCAGTGCACCCCCCCCCCCGCTTCACCTTCTCCGCATTTCTCCACCACATAACTGTTCATCACAGTTTTTTTTTTAAAAAAGGTTGGGCTAGAGGGGTGGGGAAGGGGGATGAATATAATCAAAATATATTGCATGAAATTCTCAAAGAATAAAAACATTTTAAAACTTAAAATGTCACATCTAAGCCACTACTCAGAGTTGATCACTAATAAACATAAAAGCCAACTTCCTTACATGTACAATGTGTACAAAATGCTGTTAGTGTGATTTCAGATAATACAAGAAGACTCCTAATATTGCTAATTGCACACTGCTATTGACCTCAGTTATATTATATTGGAACTCAGCATTTCCACTCTGCCTGCTCTTACCATCACTCCCTAAGAGGTCTAGATTATCTAGCCGTGCCCAGATGGACACATGCACTCAGATCACCATGGACGACTGACTGGACCAGGGATAGGAGCATCTTAAAGCAAAACAGCTGCATCCCAAGTGCTTAAGACTCAGGTGCAATATGATAGCAGCTATTAAACTCCTTTGAGCTTGTCATGACTTTGATGATTCCCCTCTCCCTCTTCTTTGCCTAACTCCAACTTGATCTCGTAAAATTGCTCCAATGTTTGTTTGGTTTTGTGCTAATGTTTTAGTTGTATTATTAATTTCAGGATCATGGCTGGTTTCAGTCTTTTCGGGACCTTTCCCCCCTTTGTCTTTTTTGTCTGGAGAAACTGTGGAATGAGGTAAAAAGTCTTGCTAAATTCTCCTCAATGGACATGGAAGTAGCAATATTTTGTCCCTAGCATTGACTGAATCCAAAGGCCTTGCTCTCCCAAGTTCTTCTTGGTAAGCACCTAGAGTGACCTTTACATGTTGGAATGGTTTCTACATGCTCAATATTACCAACCTCCTTTCCCATCACCTCTCACTCCACTGCCTACTATTTGAGTGCAAATGTTTCATTTCTGTATTCACAAATGCATTATTGAACAAAATCTATTGGTCACTGTTTTGGGAGAACAAGAGCTTGAATGGACTGTTGAAATACAATTTTTCACTTGAAAAGTTTATAGACAAGGCAAACCAATAGAAAGAAACAGTCTCAAGAGCAGTCATCTAATGGAGGCCTGCTCTTTTCTGAAGAGTAAATAAAGGGGGATTGATTTAGGGGATGGGGAGGGGAGAAGCTTGGAGGTATGGGGAAAGGGGATACTGTGATTGGGATGCATTATATACTTATTTTATATATTTATATATTTACTTTATATACTAAATATATACTAAAATATATATTTATTATATTTTTCAATATAAAAAAGGAAAAACAGAATTTCTCTCAAGATTAAAATAAAAGCTTATAGAGAAGCTAAGATGTAGCTCAGATGGTAGAGCCCTTGCTTATGCATACATGAAGCCCTTGTATCAATCAGCAATATATAAAAATGAACATAGTTATTAAAGACTGTAATTCCAGCACTCAGGAAGTAGAGGAAGGGAGGTCAGGAGCTCATACTCATCCTTAGCTGCTACCTAGTGAGTTCAAGGCCAGCAAACAGGTTAGGAATGTAGCTCAGTGGTGGGGCATTGCCTAGAATGCAAGAGGGCCTAGATTTGATCTCCAGAACCAAAAAAGAAACTAGCAAAGACAAAGAACAATGAGAAAATAAAATGGGACATAGTATGCATTAAGCTAACTCCAGCAGTTCTAGAACCTTCTAAATGTCCTATTAGGGAAATTTATTTAAATGAAACACTCTCTGGCATGGTGGTGGCACATATCTTTAATCCCAGCACTCAGGAGGCAGTGGCAGACACATCTCTGTGAGTTCAAGACCAGCCAGGTCTACATAGTGAGTTTGAGGACAGTCAAGGCTCTATAGAAAGATACTGTCTCAGAAGAAAGAAAGAAAGAAAGAAAGAAAGAAAGAAAGAAAGAAAGAAAGAAAGGAAGGAAGGAAGGAAGGAAGGAAGGAAGGAAGGAAGGAAGGGAGAGAGAGAGGAGAGAGACAGAGAGAGAGAGGGAAGGAGGAAGGAAGGAAGAAAGGAAGGAAGAGAAAAGAAAGACCCTCTAAATTGATATATCTTTATTCTACTATTTTGTTGACTATCATCTTTTCTAATAAGCTGTCACTTCAAGATTATTCACAGTGCTAAAAAGAAGCCTAACAAACAGTCACCCAAGTCATCGGGACTTTTTCCAGCTCCCAGTGGCCACCTGGGATTCATCTCAGTTCCCTGATTCTGTTTCAAATCAGCTGCTCAAAGATGCTTTTGCTGTCAGCAGGCCCTCTGATTTATTTCATCCTTCCCCAAAGTAGGTTCTGAAATTCTCACACTTTAACCCCTACTTGTTAAGCCAGCAGCTCCCCTGCAGGGACTGATTCTTCCCTGCCCTGGTAGGTGTCTGAAGAAGGCTCTGTGGTACTTCCAGTAGTCAGGGAGAGCAGCCTACACTTTTGCCCTACTGTTGTACTTTATCCTCTCCACACACTATCAACAAAGTCTTCAATAATGCTTCCCACTACTCCTTTCTGAAAATCAGAACAGGCAAGCACATCGCATGCAAATTATTTACAACTCAACATACGCTTATGCTTCACATTTGAAGGATGCTATCATTTGCTAATTTAATGAGCAGTGATAACACTTGTTCCAGTTTGCCAAGGTCCCTGTCTGTAATACCAGCATCAGGAAGCTCAGGCAAGAGGATGGCAAGTTCCTGGCCAGCCCAAGATACATAGTGCATGAGACACATTTCAAAAACAAGAAAAGAGAAAAATCACTTGCTGGATTTTTTTAAAACAATTTTAATGCATTGTGTGCACGGCTATATAGGGGCCTGCAACATATGCCACAGTGAGTTTGTGAAGATCTGAGGACAGCTTTCTGGAGTCCATTCTCTTTGTTTCATGTGGGTTCCAGGGGTCATCAAGTTTGGCAGCAAGCACTGTCTCCCACCGAATCAGTACAACATGAAAATACAGAAGGAAATTTAGTAAGTCAGAAAGAGACAAGAATAAAAAAAAAATCCCTTTAGAAATAGATAATGACATTTGGGTCTAACACAATCTGGTTTTGCCTTCTAATGTATAGCTCAATCAGCTAATCAATTTTAAAGTTCTAGGCAATGCAGAAGTCCTGTGACAACAGGTAGCATCTTGCCTTTCCCTGAGTAGCACTACAATACACAATAAAGTCAGAGAAGAATAAAATCAGACAAGTTTGAGAAATGAGCTAAGACTCATTTTGATTTCAGTTTGATTTCAGTTCTAGAAAGTATGGAATTGACCTCCTAGAATACCCACTGGCCTTGTATTAGTCTTTTTGTGGTAATTTTCAGTTCTTGTTCAGTGGTAATAATAATAATAACAATAATAATAATAATAAAGATCCTTTTCCCTTTACCTAGTTTCTTCGGTGCTGTTTCATATATCACCCAACTAGGATATTGGCACTTTCACAGCTAAGTATAAACTATTCATCTGTGCCTAGAACTCTTTAACTAAAAGATCCTGTGTAGCCACACCCTCTTTCTACGGCTCTTTGACTCTTGGTAACCATTAATCTTTCATAATCTTTCATCCATTTTTCAGATTTTTTTTATTTTGATTTTACTACATAAATAAGTGCAGGGGAGATGACTCAGTAGTTCAAGTATTCGACTCACAAGAATGACTGGAGTCAGGTCCCCAAAACCTCCAGAAATGATCCCTAGACCAAACTGGCTAGCCAAACTAGCCACATCAGAGAGCTCTAAGTTTCACTGAGAGACCCTGACACAAGAAATAAGGTAGAAGAACCAATGATATTTCCTGACATCAACCTTGGACCTCCACATACAAGTGCACAACAACATACATGCAAAACATGCATTAACTTATACATTCACACCACACTTGAATGAAAAGGGAGAAAAATGTAAGAAAATGAAGTGGAACTTTTAAGGTGACATGTTTTTTTTTTTCACCCAGTCTAATTCCCTAAAGATTCATTCAGGTTTTGTACATTTCAATGATTTGCCACCTCTGCGTGTTGAGTAGTATTTCATGGTATGGCTCCATCATGACTGATAGTGGTTACTTAAATGTTAGAATAGCTAATAGTTTATTTAGCCATTGGAAGATGTCTGGGTCATTTCCAATTGTTGGTTATTGTGAATATTGTGAATAAAGCTGTTATAAACATTCTGTGTGAACTTAAGTACTTGTTTATCTGGGATAAATGCTGAGAAGCATAATGCAAGTGCTATGGTAGTCCGTGTTTAGTTCTTTAGAAACCACCAAACTAAACTGTCTCCCAGAGGGGATCATAACTTAAATCCCCACTTGCATTGTATGAGCAATCCAGAGTCTTTTCATATTTGCTAGTGGTCTACTTTGTTGTGGTTAATTTTTAGCCAAATCCAGAGAACAAATTTGAGGCAAAAACTTGCAAAAAGAGTTTAATATTCAATTTGTGATGTTATGTTAATCATACTTAGACACACATTTTTAACATCACCTCACTTTGTTTTAAACTCCACAAGCTAATAACAATGTATTTGGGCAACTTACTTAACAAATTTAAACCTCAATTTCCTTATATGTGAAACCTGCTCCTCTGTATCAAGAACTATATTAAAAGGATAATACATGTAAAGAATGTAGGATATAAAACATGGTCAATGAGTATGAATTCCCTTCCTTCACACTGTTTGATTGTGTGTTACTTTGACTTTGTTCTAGGGACTGAACCCCAGAGTCTCAATCATGCTTGACAATGACTACACCACTGGCTTAACAATCATATATATTTGAACATATGTGTTTTTTTAAAATTCATTCCCAGAATCTCTAGGAATAACCTCTTCTTTACAGTTTTCTTGCTCTTTCTCGCTTCAGTTTAGCTATTGTCTTAAAAAATGGTTAACAAAACAAAGCAGCATAAAATTATTTTCAAAACTTTTAATTCAGATATTCCTTCTTAACAGCTATACAGACTCAGGTGACTGCTTGGCAACTCAGTCAACACCAATGATGGCTCATCGCCAACTCTGTCTTTAGAATAAACAGAACCAGACCTTAGAGTGAAAAATGAAACGTTCAAATGAGAAATTATGTGAATAATTTGTAAACAGAAAAAAAATGGTACCACCATGTGGAAACAGAAAAAGAAAGGAAACAGAAAATATTTCCAACATACCTGAAGATCTTGTTCATTTTGCCAGAGAACATCAATTTAGAGAAATGTCAGGAAACACAATGACTTTTGAATCTAGCACAATGGTCCCCAAAGGATGAAATACCAGATCTATATTATAAATATCCCTTGCATTTGCTCTACTATCAAAATTCAGAAACTACACCCTAGTAGTAAGTATAACCATTGGCACTAGCATCCTCATTGCTACTGTGTCAGCAGATGTTCTAGGCATGTAAGGTCTCAGCTGAAAAGAGACGACCCTAAGATGAGCTTCCAGTGGCTTCCTAAGTGCAGGGAGTGCATTGTGTTCCATCTGTCTGCCTCTATTATGTAGAAGTACATTATATAATCCAAACCTTCATCATGAATAAAGGGCTTAAAAGGATTCCTTCAAAGATCCTTCCATTCAATACCATGCAAAGGATGTGGGTAGAAACTATCTACAAAGGATGGCAGAAGGGACTGTGTGGCCCCTCCCAGTTAAGAGCGTAAGCCAGCCCCAAAACAAGGCAGAAACTTATCATGTCAGTCCAACCATATATTTTTAAACAGATAAGACTAAAATTTACCCTAAAATACTTAAGTCTATTACCTGATCTTCATCTTAGTCCTGTTCATTTTTTCATGGGTTTATTATGTGTGTTAAATATCTGTAAAAGAGAGAGAGAGAGAGAGAGATCAAATAATTATTTTTCAAATAAATATGCATATAATTTATCATTACAGGGGTTTGTAATGAATAAAAAGAACCGTTCCCTGGGGTATTTTATTTCCCTGAAGTGTTATTTTCCCCAGGTAGACCTTTGTGTTAGGCACCAATGGAGCACAGTTACATTGCTGCAGATAACACAAAAGTAGATGTCACAGGACCACCTCCCCAAATCTTTCTTTCCCCCTTTTGTTTGAGACTGAGTCATACAGACATATGACCCATTGAACTCATGTTGGTCTTCTTACCTCAGCTTTATGAGGTTTTGGAATTATACGCATGTTCCACTACACCCAGTTCCCATGTCATTCTTGAACCACTGAAGACACCAGAAACTTTCCTTCATCCTTCCAGCTTGGGGGGCTAGATACCAAGGCAGACCCCTCACAGAGAGCTTGTGGGGTCTGTGAACTATCAGCACATCCCTGCTCTGTGGCTATCGGGAAAGTAGTCATGGCATGTCACTCATGGTAGAGCCATGCCAAAGAAATGGTTGATGCTCATTAAGTCCTGAGTAGGCACCAGACTCTCTAAGAACTACATCTGAATAATCTCACTGATGGTCCTTACATAATGCTTGCAATTCTTGTCCATCTTTTACAGATGTAACCACTGAGGCAGAGAATAGCTAGCTGATCATACAGTTACTAGCTGTTCTCAGATTCAAACAATCCATAATAATGTATTCTCTGGACGCTGCTCTTAATCACAGCACACTGCTGCTTGTCACACATAGCAATAGCTTCACCAGGAATCACTGAGATTTGTCTTTTTAACAACAATATAATTTTTTAAGACAGGTTTCAGCTAAATTGTGATTTTTTTCCCCTTGGGATCAAAATAATTGTCAGAATACATCACTGACCTTGACCTAAATATCAAAGGTAAATTGCAATCATATTTTCAGGAACTATTCTCACAAACAGAGTTTGAAAAAATGCATCTTGTCAATTCTTTAAACAAACAAGTTCTCTTCTAACACTAAGTAGAGCAAAGATAACAACACAAGGAAGTACATACATACAGCTTACTTCTTCTACAACTTAAGTTGCTACCACCTAATATAAAGAAAAAGAGACAGTATGTGACCCAGTTATTTCCAAGTATTAGAGTTATTGATGAGAAAAAAAAGACATAAGAGCTGAGAAAACTTGTCAATCATTAATGCAGCTAAATTAGTGTCATGTCATATTAAGATGTTTAAGCAGAGAAAAGCCCATGGAATTTCTGCATCTATCCCCTCCTCATTCTGGAAATTTCTAATAGAATACAAGTAGACGAATGGGGGTAGGGAAAGAAATGAAAATGCAGTAAAAAAAAAAATGCTTCTGAGGGAAGGTTCCCTAACATGATTATATGTTCTTAGCTGTGCAAATTAAGGATTCAAATTTCTCCCCTTAGATGCCCCCATTATAAATACCAAAGTCATAATTTTGAATGCAGTATAATTTACAAAGCCCAATCAACACCAGACAGAGTTAAATGTTACTTTGTTACTGTGACTATTTTCAGCTTTGATAACCCCTCACATTTATCTTTGCAAATAGCAAATGTCTTTAGAACTAATGTTAAATATCACTATGTCTAAAAAGAGAAAAAATTCAACAGTAAAACAGCTAAGCAATTCAATAGCCCAAGATGATGCATAAATGTTGTAATAAAGCGAAAACACCTACTTGATTAGATTCTGTAATTTGTTTACTGACATCGTCTTTACTTAAATAACACAAGATGCAAAGAACTTAGCAATGATTGGGGAAGTAGAAAGAATGACCAAGAATGTAAGAAGATAGCTTCCTCATTTATTTGTTCCATATTAATAGCAATTAAACTAACTGCTTTATTCCAGATAAAACTTTGTCACATTTTGCTCAACAATTTGAAGTATATAGAAATCTTCTCACAGATAAATTTTTTTAATTGGTATTCTATGACATCAAATGCACCCTGTATTGGGCTAGAAGGATTTTAAGCATGGTTTAAAATCACAGGAAGCTAACATTTGCATCTATACAAGAATTTGCATATATTTCCTGGACTGGATTTCTTCATCCACTGGTGGGGAGGGGAACAATTTTAAAAATCACTGAATTGAAAAAGCTATTGAATTAGCTTCTCGGCCTCTTGTTTACAAGCAGATCTCATGCAAGCAAACTTTCTTTTACATGTCTTAGTTTTCTGTATCCTTCTTGTCTTGTTCATTATACACCTCATTAAACCATCATTTCAGAACTGTAGTTGGGGAAGCACTTGCTTATTTTCTCTGATTTCACATTTAACAGAATTTTTTTTAATGGATCACAAGTGACCTCTTACTGGAGAGAGAAAAAAAAACAGATGTTCTGGTAGGTTCTGTAAAGTGTGAGCAGTCTGTCCAGTGTACTGTCTGTTTGTCACTCAGCAGGAATAAAGAATCCTGTTACCTTCACAAGTATTAGGAAAATGTTCCCAGCTGAAAGCATTTACCCAATTCCAATTGTTCCAAAGTCTAAAATGCTAAAGAAGATACTGTTCCAGGAGCTACTGTTTAAAACAATGCAATCCCTGTTCAGGGTGAAATCTTGGTATTTAGAAATTTGAGTTCATTTTTAAAATAATAACTGTGCATCCAAAAAAGGAATTCCAAAGAAGCATTCTTGTGCCAAGCACGTGTTTTTAATTTTAATAGCATTGGCTTACCTAAGTAAATATGTAGACCCTAATAATTGCACTTACATGTTGATAGTTTTGAATATTATTTTTGTTTTAGTTTGCAAAAAGATTGCTGAATAATAATGTAGAAAATGCAGTATCTGTCAGTATCAAATTGCTGTGGTTTATGGGAATTGCAAAATAGTGTAGTTTTTAAAAAGTCCTGTTGAAAACTAATAATTGAAAACTGCCCTGATTTTAAAAGAAATGAATATAGCCATATCCTTATAGGATAATGTCAAATAGAAAAAAATCATGCCCCCATACAATCGTGTTTGCTGGCATTTATATGAGAATAATAATGCCTTACGGTTATTTTCACAGTTGTTCACTTAATGTGGGATTAACTTCAACATCTTCATAATTATCTGAGATCACCCAATTGAAAGTGGTACGGTAAAAACATGTTAATGGTTACGACACTCTCACCATCTTAATACCAAACAGATTAACACACATGAAAGTAATGGTATAATTTGTACATGGAATAATATGCCAGCCCAATTCTTACGGTGAAAGGAGAATTCTTATGAAATGGTACCCTTTCTAGCTATTGCTTCCTCTTCCTTGGGCTATTAAAGAGATCAGTTGCCTGGACAATGATATAGGAAACATGCACGGGTATGTGTAACTCTGTGGACATCAGATACTGTTCTTCCACTTTGTCACTGCAGATTCAATGAAGCCATCATCCCTGAGATTTGCTTTAGTTAAGACTGAAAGGATGCTACAGTGAAGGTATAATCAAACTGAAAAGGAAAAAAAAATACTATTAATTGTGAGGGGAAAAAATGATTGCTTATTGGCCATAGTAGCTGTGAGTTTAGTTTATGACCAACAAACAAAAACAGACTGCACCTTATACATTCTTAAATAACAGAGCTCATGTCAGTGTGGACTCCAGAGTCTCATATATTTCAGCTTCCACTACTGCAATAGCCGCACAAAAGGAAAAAGGCCATCTGTTGGCAAAGTGATATGAAGTCAGAACTCCTCCAGGCACACCCATCTTTCTTAAATCTATATAAAGAGTAGCTTGCATCTAAGATCTCAATAATAATCCTTGCTATACATGATAAAACATCAGCATGGTGTGTGAAATCTCTGATGCAGGTGTCTGCCCATCAGGGATGGAAGTGAGTGTTACATGACTGTGCCTTCCAGTTCCAACCGTGCTTGGGAAAGGAGTGGAGGGACTTAAATCATGTTGTTTCCACTTATGCAGGGAGAATCCATAAAAAGAGATTTATTATTATATTTTCTGTTTGAAATGTAGTATTTGCAATTTTTTTACTCCAAAAGTGCTCCTCAGTATAAAGCAGAGTAAATATTACAATTTCGTTAAACAGCAGCCAAGATTTAATTGTCTGTGAAATATAAGGCTTAGGAACTGACTTAACTACTGTTCTCCTGACACAAACGAGGTTCCCCAGCACTGAAGGGAAGGCACACCGAGATTATCCCAGAAAGAAAGAAAAGTGAGCTAGGTGCCCCCCAACCACAAGTGTGGAAAAGTCTGTCCTGGGAACTTGGGTTTTGGTTCCTGCAGCAGATTTAAAGTAACTATGTACAAAAAAAGTCAAACAAGAACAGCTATGGCAAATACAGCAAATCATGATAGCAGTTTAACAGCGAGGAAGCAGGGGAAAATCCAGAGCTGCTAGCCCGCACTGTAGAAAATGTTGGGAGCGAGGGGAAGAGAAGCTGGGGACAGAAAGGAAACTGAAGACACAACACTGGTTTCCATATGTGGATTCTACGCTTTATTAGTGTTGCATATACTTCGGTAGCTCAGTCAGGAACCTGGAAAGCCGATGTTTAACCTCACTCTGCGCGCCCCTTTGCACAGGGGTCTAGGCTAGGGCTCCGCCAACCCCTAGCGACCCCGCCAACCCTATCCGCGCCACCCGGCCTCTCTCATCAGTGGCTCTCAGGTCGCTTCCTCCAGTACTCGACTGGCTCGGGATGCAGAGGAGTCAGCGACCATAGCAAATTTGCCCCGGTGGCACCAGAGGCACAAGCCAAGCCCGTAATTGCAAAGCAAACAAGACTGAAATGTTGGATTCGCCTCCATCGTGACAAGATCTACGCTTTTGCCGCCACTTTGTTTGTGCAGCTCTATTTCAGGGCACTTGATTGAGGAAATGTTGAAAATAGCGGTGAGGGTTTCCCTAATGAGACCGGGTTGAGGGTGTGGGGGGGGGGGGAGCGGTGGCCTACCCTCAAGCACCAGGAGCTCCGAGGGGAGCAGGAGAGGCAGCGCGGTTAACCCCTTCCTGCCCTCATAGAACGAAAAATTCTCAGTGATGCCTGCCCCCCCCCCCCCGGTTCCCAGCAGTGATCCCTCCTAACCTGAACGCGGTGAACTCGCCTCCTCCTGCCCGCCCCACAGAGGGGCAAAGAGATAGAATAATTTGGCCAGAATGGGAGGGAAGGCGCAGCATTAGTGTGAGGGCCTGGACCGCAGGAGTTCTTAAACCCGTAGCTGCTCTTGCAGCCCCGGGCTCCCCTGCCCTGGCGCTGCCGCTGCTGCCCAAGGAACCCTTGAGGGTGCAGCTATCTCCCAAGAGACCAGGTTTTGTGCTGCTGGGGGAGTGTGGGGGACGCCAACGAGGCAAAGACCCTGAGTTAGGCCGCACAGGAAGGGCGCACTTGGCCCGAGGACGCCCAACACTATCAGACTGGATCTTTAGGCAGCTAGATTCAGAGGGGAACTTAAAATAAGAATAAATAAATAAAAATTAGAAAAAAATAAACGAAGAGGCAGGAGGAACTATGAGAATAATTATTAAGCACAGGCACCTCTCTTGAAGGCCCCTTGGTCTTTTTCAATCTAGCTCACAAATGTCAGGCCTGTTCTTTCAATGGAGCAAAAACTAAGGTACAAAACACTGACCCGGTGATGGAGTGTTAGCCACCTCTGACTCTTGAGCTTGGGGTACTTGGAATGGGGACCACAAAAGCCAAGCCAGGTTGGTCCTGCAGCCTGCAAGATTGATCTGGAAGTGCCTGCAAACGTTTGAGGTTGAAGGTCTGTTCCTCCATAAATGACTTCCAAGTCGCATATAGGCTCTAAGGACCTTCAAAATAAAATAAAACAACCTGATTGCAATTAAAATGTCCCGGTTTCTCTAAAGCGCCTTCCCACTGGCTGTTGGGGCATCGTTTTGTGCAAAGCATTAGTTGCATTTTTCCAGGACAGACGTGAAAGCTATGTACTCAGAGAACTCCAAAAGTGTATGTGTGGCCCTACCAGAAAGCAGTTCAAAAAAGCGAGTGAGGCTTGATTGGGGTGCAGAAGGAAAATCTGTAATCAGAAGGCCTCCTGTAATGTGGAGGACCTCAGGAAGGACTTAGAGGCAACAATGAAGTGTGGATCCTTAGCTAGCTTGGGAAGGTGGGCTGTTTGTCAAAGAGGTTGACAAGTCAAAAGGTGCCAGACCCACATTTGGAGACAATATGAGTGAGGGTCTGTCTACTGCCAGCACCCATCTCACACTCCTCTTGTAACTTGGCTAAGGGCAGGTTGATCTAAAATTCCAACCCGGCTTAAAATTGAAAGCCCACGTTTTGGAAGTTTTGTCCAGCTTTGTAACCTCTATCAAAGGGAAGTGTCAAGGACAGAGACAGTAAAATGACACTAGGGGCGCTCTCACCAGAGACCCTGGCTGCTTGAGCCCTTGAGTCTCTGCTCTTTTCCCTGGGGTCTAGTCTGAGATGTCTGTACCTTGGCCAATCTGAAGTTTCTTTCTGGAGTTAGACTCTTCTGAAGATGGCAAGAGGAAAAAAAAAAAAAAAAATCCAGGAGGTGAAGAGGGCTGGTTTCGTTGTTCTTGCTTGATAATGAACTGTGCCTTCTGTCAGCAAAACAAAAACAAAACAAAACAAAAACAAAAAGCACCAGTCACACGGATTTAGTGAAGTATGCAAATGCATTCTAAATGGAATTCTGTTTTTCCTTTCTGCCAATCAGTCCTTCGTTTGAAGTTGGATGCTTTGCAAGAAAAATGCAGTCCCGCTTTTTAATTCCTCGAGTTTGGGGCCTGTGCTGACTTAAAGGAGCACTCACACAAGTATTAAAAAGAAAACCATTCTCTTTTTGGAAAATGGAACAAAGTAGCGCTTCTCCAATCAGAGTGCAGATACATCAACAACAAATTTGCCTCATAGTGCTGCGCATTTCCAGCAAGCATCCTGACTTCGCTGTTTATATTATAACTTTGCTGCCTGCAATTATTTTTATTTTAATTTTCTGTCACTTTAACAAAAACCAGATCCTTTTCTTTTAATGTTTTGTACACAACATGTTCATTTTGATAAGATGTTCTTTCCTATCCTCTTTTAGCTTGCCTTTCCTTGTTTAGAGTTCTGTATCAGAAGTTTCTAATATTTCTCCCTCTTTTTTTTTTTAAGAATTTGTCCCTGTCTTGCTTTATTTGTTTGTGTGAAATTTAGTTTGAAAGGAGATCAGAGAGAGCAGGAGGGGTTTGTAATAAGAGAATGACCGAATGACCCAAGGGCTGATTATCTATCATTAACTGGAGACTTGGTGTACCCAAATTACCAGGAAGACCTCAGTCTGCCGGATCCTTACCCTGCCAGAAAGAAAACCGTGGAATGCACACACTGCAAAAGACTCATCACATTGCAAAGTGAGGACCACTGCTTAAACATATTTTCTTAAAGGAATTCTCCTTTAAAACTCAGTTCCAGTTGAAGGAATAAATCGCTAGGTCATAATATGTTATGTACAGGTAAAAATCAGTACTCAAATACTAACTTTACAATTTCTTTTGCCACTAACTTTCTCGTATTGTTTCATTAGAACCAAAATTGCAGGTAATTGTCTAAGCACCAGAGAATATTGAGAAATCAAGACAAGCTGCTTTTGATCTGCTCAACCCAAGGCTTGTAAAAATCAAAGTTTGCCATTAATATTGACAATAAAAGTGTTCCTTTTTGTTAACCTGAAACCTAACCATTCTGACTCAAGTCCCTTGTCTATAAGCAAAGACTGAAGAAGAATGAAGAAAAGGCCTGGAAGGGACTGTCAGGGCTAAAGAAATCCATCTATGTGATTCTGCAAATGAAGTCACACTGTGGAGACTTCCCGGGAGTGCCTCCAACAAGGCATGGCAGTTAGAACTGGGAAGGAACAGGACCCAAATCACAAGAAAATTCTTCAGTCCCACAAATGGTGCTTCAGAAGCCCCACATGTCAAGCAGCCATTTCATTCCTGTTTTATTCTGAACCCCAGACTGTATTGCACGTTAGTTTAAATTCATTGCTAGCTATTTCCAAAGAGTATGAGTGTAAAATCATATTCACATTCTCATCTGAATTCAGCATGGATTCTTTACAGCTTGGAAGGAAATAATTCTCTTTTTATTTATTATTATGTTATTTTATTGTGTTTGTTGTTGTTGTTAAGTGCTGGGAGTGAAAGCCAGGGTCTGTCTCTCAAATATATACCCAACTCTAAAATATTTCTATGTGTATGCAGTTCTCTGAGTATGTTGTTTAAATCCTGAGGGAACTATTGTCTTGTGACTGTTCTATTTGAAACCCAGTATTTTACTCCAAAGTGGCAAAGATAGAGATCAGATTTATCATACTTCTTGAGACTACTATAATAACAATCCATATGTTATATATAATGTTATTATTTATAATACTATCTTTTTGCAAAGCCTGATCACAGCACATTTTATGTTGCCTTTAGTCTGAATGAGTATTTTTTATTTACAGATACCTGTCAAAGTACCAAATACCTTCTTCATCAATGAGAACTCTGCACAGAAGCAACATATCTTCCAGTTAATGCAGGAATATAGTCATGGGTTATTGAAGAAAATGAAAGGTCTAATGCTGATCATAGGATTTTCCATAAAGAACTTAAGGATAAACTAGTGACTCGTTCTTCCACAAGTCTCACGTTCAGTGACAGAGACAAGCAATGTATAAACCCCAACACTTCTAGGGGGTAAGTTATAGGGGAAGAAAGAAGGGCAAGGGGGGTGAGAGGAGAACTAAAAAACTGCAAGGAGAAATGTCCAGGCACTTAGCAAGTCCTAGCTTTACTGTTTCCTAGGTACAACTGAACTGAAGAGTTTGTGTCTTAAAATCACCCCCTCTGAGGTTGTCCCTGCCTTTGAACCAGCCCCTCCCTCTTCCATCTGCACAGATCTGTTTCAAATGGAGAACTGAGAGGAAGGGGGTCTATTCCCCAAATGCTCCACCTCCCCCAAAATCCAAGAAGAAATTGTTCAAAAGAAAAGAAAACCACATAAGAGTCAAGGGCACCTTCTCCTGCCCTACTTTTTTTTTTTTTTTTTTTTTTTAAGCAGACATAAAATTCAATGGACTGTATTCCCTACTTTGTGATTGTCTACTTTAAAACATTGTTGCCACAAAAGGAAAAGAGGAAAGTCCTATCAGAGGGAGATTTTAGCTGCCACTCAGCTGGTAGGCCTTGTTCTGAATGTCCTAAAACATGGAGGGACTAAGTGGCTAACAAGTAGTGTGACACAGTGCCCCCCCCCAGTAGAGAAAAAGGCCTGTAGGGTAACTAGAGAGTAGCAGAAACAGTGTTTTCCATGCAGGTGAGACAGAGGTTACATTCATTTTCCTCATTTTCCGTCACCTTCTGGGTTTGGTATTCCTTTTGGGTTCTTAGCATGTTCAGGAGTTCTCCTTGTCATAGATGTCTAAAGGAATGTTCATAATCAATCCTGCACTACTTTAGTTAGGAAAGAAAGGTAGGAAGGGGCTTGAAAGATGATGAAGGGAATTGAGCCATAATTCCTGTAAATATAAAATGTGTGTTTATGGCCTTCTGGCCTGGTTCTTTTCAGACCCAGTTTATTTTAAGTACTCATGAGCAAAGCACAAGATACAAAATTGCCCTAGCCTTTGAAATAATAAATACCTTGAAAAGATCTGTATTTCCCCTAAAAAGACACTGAAGTTTAAAAAAATATTTTGTTTAAACAGAGCTTAAAAGTAATATCTCACAGGGGCAAAATGTTTGCAAGGGGCGTCCCCAGCCTTTTTCTTGATCTTTGATTTTTTTTCCCAGAGAAAAGAAGGTGGTAGTAAAAGAAAAGAGACAAGTGACATGGTCACAAAATAAATGTTTGAAACCAGCCTTTTTTGTTTGACTGAAAGAAGATGTAGTATGCAACACTGTGGATATACTATCTGTGTCAGAGAAGACTATGGACACATAAGCTCTAACACCACCCTGAACCTGGACTGCCTCCCTGTGATGGTGTGTAGAACTAGGACCGCTCAACCCTCAGCCTCCCAGGAGAAAGATGACCCTCTGTGGGGTTCCTCCAGGGCACCCAGAATGGCCAACAACCAGCATCATCACAGTTCCTTGGATTTGGGGGATTCTAAATGTGTACCCTAATGGAATATAGTTCACCAGAGGCCTTACTAGAACAGCCCAAGAGAGAGCAAGCTGACATCAGAGCTGAAAACAATACACCTGCCTTCTCTCACCTTCTCCCTGATCAGTAATGTCAACTTCCCCATCATGTCACTGTTAGTTCTCTCAGGACCATACACCCCTATGTGGGGACAGGCCATGGAAAATGGAGATGAATTTAAAATATCTTCTTAGCTTGGTAGTTTTCCAAAGCAGCAAGCTAACCCAAGATTCCTGAAGTAAAGTGTGTCAAAAGATACTAAAAAGAAAAGGTGAATAAACCCATTAAGGACACATCTCAACAAACCCATTAAGGACACATCTCAGTTAGTTAGAGCCAGCCAGCTTCTGCATGGGAGATACCACTAAAACTTACCCACTTGTCCCCTCTCTCCAGCTACTTCCAGAATGACTTTCAAAGGCTCTAGTCTCTGGTTTTGGGTTTCTGAGATACATGAAGCTTCAGACCCCTGGATTTTGTACTTAACCGATAATGGTGCTGTCAGTGAGGAAAGACAGTCAGATTAGCCTCTTCTACAGCCCCCTTTCTGCCCAATGCTGTCCATTGCTTTTATCACATGTGAGGTTGCTATCTGGAGCCATGCATCTATACTCCTACTTTTTGTTGTTGGTGATGGTGTTTTCCATTTAAGAAGCATGAAAAGGGAGCTAAAAGTAGCACATTCTGGTCCCTAACTTCCCTGGTCACTGGGGAGCAGACAGCTTATCCGGTTCCTAGCCCTATCTTTCTCTGAATTCTTCTAATCTTCCAACCCCCTAAAAGTTGATTTCCTAAGGTAGCAAAGATATTCCCTTCCCTAATTTTATTTTTATCCGTTGCTGGCCACAGTGCAGTCATCTTACTTAGTCTACCTGTTCCCAAGGCCTACATGTTTTTATAAACAGACTTTCTTTTAAAAGTGTATCAAATGTCAGAGGATTGAACTACCAGTATTTACTGGTTCAGGGTATCCTCCTGGTGTAAATGTAAACAGAGTCCTCCACTACACTGCCCCTATTCTTTCCTTGAAGAAGTGGTTCTTTAGAAAACTCTCATTGTACCCCCAAACTACAGACCCACCCATGCTGGGAAGCAAAACTGTATGAAAGTCATTATTTTGTTTTGCTACCAAATGCAAGCCTCCCGGGGTTAGCAAGACTGGATGCATCTATTTCCCATCCAGGATTTTCTCTCTGTCTTAGGACCCTCTACCAGGGGGTTGGCTAGGAAAACTGTCCCCTTATGGATAGAAGATAGGCCATAGTCTTTGAGTTTCCCCGCTTCTCTGGCGCGCTAGCTCCATACATTGATATTTTAAAACCCTGTGAGACTAACAGGGTGCAGTAGCCAGCCAGGTCTCAGCCAGGAGACCATGGGAGCAACCAATTGGGTGCCCTCCAATTCCCGCTGATCTGGCCTTCCAGACAGAACCATAGTCAGCCAGGCTCAGGGATACTGACTGTGCATGGCTGGGGTTCTCTTTCGTATCTGGAAGCAGACTTCTCCTGCTCCAAGGAGCGATGACCAAGGTGGAGCCACTGGTGTGCCCTCTGCTTGCCTAGTCATGTCCAAGGCCAGCCCTCGACTCGATAGAATTCACAGCCTACAGACTTCTGTTGCACACCCTCTTGTACACTGACCTCCATCATGCGGGCGAACAGAGGTATCTTCGCACACGCTTAGTCTTTCTGGTCGTCCTCGCCAAGGTTGCAGGCTGATTTAAACTTCTTCCACTGACCACCTCCACCCGCTGCTAAGGGTCTGCCTGGGTGCCCCGAGGCCCGCTCACTTACATGTAAAGATCCATTTTCCGTTCTAATGCGTTCAAGATCGCCAAGGCAAGCAGTCTAAACATCCACGAGCCGTCCTCCCCTCCTGCCTCTTAAACAGCCGTTTAATGGCTCCCCTCCGATAACTAAACCTGCTTTCCACAGATGCCCGCTTTTATGGGGGAGGCAGGAATGCAGAGATATATTTATATGTTTGTTCATAAAAACTAGAAAATAAGCTCCGAACACGCTGTAAAAACTATTCAGTTACTTACCAAACAGGCTAGTTAAACCAGCGGAACACGGGTACTCGCCACACCACAGATTCGAGAAATCGAGGTGCCCCACTTTGAAAACCTCCAAAGTCTCTGTTGGGGTTGCTATACCAGAAGAATATGCAAATGGGTGCATTTTCAAAGTTAAGTTCCCATCCACCACCTCACTAGAACCACTAGAACCACTAGAGTCATTAAAATCACTGAAATTTCTCCAACGTGTGCGGGGGTCAAAGGAGCGAGCATTGGGTACCAGCCTGGTCAAACAAACTCAAGACTGCTCCCAACCCACCTTAATCGGCATCCTTGCAGCCGCCTTCAGACTCACGTCGCCACCATACCACCCCCCTCCCCCAGCCCAGCACAAAACCACAGGAGGCTGCCTGCTCAGTTTTGTGCCTCAGTTACCTACAAAACACACTCGCGCGCGCGAAAAGGGCAGTATCTGCGTCGCTTCTCCTTTTCATCCCACCCCAGTAAGCAGAAAAGAAAGTGAAATAATACTATACCTGGTTTGAGATTTCTTCCATTGGGGGGGGGTATTTTAATAGCGAAGCATCTGTTAAACACTTGCATTAACCTATGGCTGATAAAAAGGTTTTTTTTTACCCCTGCCCCCCTTGTTTTAATTATCTTATGGTTATGAGTGGACAACCAATCCTAGAAGAGGACCTCGGCAATTAGCAACGTGAACATCAAAAAGTTTTATTGCGGAGAGCGCGAGGCGCCGCCCCCGCCGCCCCGGGATTGGCGTGAGGAGCCTCTGACGACATATATTAACCCGAGCTGCCCTAAAGATGTAGCTGTACATGGAGATCTTGCTGGGAAAATCGGCTTGCTCCCCTCACCGCCTCCAGCCCAGGAGAACCGCCGGCGCCACCCGGGAGCTCCCACAGGCCACTGTGCACACCCCTCCGAGAGCCCAGTCGCCGCTTCCCAGCTCCGAGGCGCCTTCAGGGGCCCCAGATTCTTGTCTCGAGAGGAGAGGATCTTAGAAAATGGATGCGCTGAGACCTCTCTGCAAAGCCTCCGAGAGAACCTGAGAGGAGCGAGGACCGACACGTTACTAGCAGCTTTAAAAACAAATCACACTCAAGGACCAAAACAACCAAAAATTTTATTAAAACAATAAGCGCCCAAGAACCCAGATCGGGCTGGTGGGGGAGGGGAAGGGGCGGGAAGAGGAGGGTCGCACCGAGGTAACTCCACGCTGAGCAGCGACCCCGCCGCCTCCCGGCAAACCCGGCCGGCTCCTCCAGCCCCGGCTCGGACTCGCCCCGGACTCCAGGTCAGCTTCGGAGTCAAGAGTGCCGTGCCCCGGCATCTGCCGGACAGCCTCGCCGGAGCCTGCCGGCCGGCACTTTTGCATGAACACCGGAGCGCTCTGCCTAGACGCTGCAGCGGGGAAAGCCGGAGCCAGCGCGAGGGCTGTAGAGCCGAGCAGGCGGCGGCGGCGGCGGGGGCGGGCAGGGGCGCACGGTGCCGGGACCAGCTCGCCGCGCCCCATGGGGAGCCGGCGGCCGCGGCGCAGCTGAGGCGGGCCCGGCGGGCCAGGCGAGGGCCCCGGGCTGCAGCGGACCCCTCTGCGGCTGCCGGGCCGGCCCGGGAGCCCGGGGGCTGGGGGGTGGGGGGTGGGGGAGACCGCCGATCGTCGAGGCCGGGGCCCGGGCCGAGGGCGCGGCGGGGCTGCGCGCACGCTGGGGCGCGTGGAGGGCCACGGAAGGCGAGATGAGTCTGGTGGGGGGCTTTCCCCACCACCCCGTGGTGCACCATGAAGGATACCCATTCGCCGCCGCTGCCGCCGCCGCTGCCGCTGCCGCCGCCAGCCGCTGCAGCCACGAGGAGAACCCCTACTTCCACGGCTGGCTCATTGGCCACCCGGAGATGTCGCCCCCCGACTACAGCATGGCCCTGTCCTACAGCCCTGAATATGCCAGCGGCGCCGCCGGCCTGGACCACTCCCATTATGGGGGAGTGCCGCCCGGTGCGGGGCCTCCGGGCCTGGGGGGGCCGCGCCCGGTAAAGCGCCGGGGCACCGCCAACCGCAAGGAGCGGCGTAGGACTCAGAGCATCAACAGCGCCTTCGCGGAGCTGCGGGAGTGCATCCCCAACGTGCCCGCTGACACCAAACTCTCCAAAATCAAGACACTGCGCCTGGCCACCAGCTACATTGCCTACCTCATGGATCTGCTGGCCAAGGACGACCAAAACGGCGAGGCGGAGGCCTTCAAGGCGGAGATCAAGAAGACCGACGTGAAAGAGGAGAAGAGGAAGAAAGAACTGGTCAGTACCGGGGGACGGGAGGGGAACAGCTGGCGGTGAGGGGCTCGGGGTACGTGGGACAGCTGTTAGGGTCTTCCCAGTAGAGTTGAGAAATTGCATACCACATTCTTTGGCTAAGAAGTGCGTCAAAGTTGTTTTTCCCAGGTTACAGTAGGGCCGACTTGCCGCAAAAGTTAGGAAGATGGGCCCGGGAGGATGTCAGCAGCGGGAAAAGAAGGGTTTAGACCTAAGCTCCTCCGAGCTTCTGGTCTTCCCTGCTCCTCTAGCCATTTAGCACTGGCCTCCCAAACCGTAGGAACTGACCCGTCTCCCACTCGCACTGACCAGGTCTCTTGGTTCTGTGTCCATTGACGCTATCTTTTAGCTTCCAATGCAACCTTTCTTTTAAATATTTCTCTAGTAAGAAGTCAGTGATCTCTAGGTTCCAGTTATTTCACTATTGATCACATTCCCCATTCCAAAACCTAGGCTGCCTCTGGTTCCAACACTAAAACATTATACTTGTTCACACTGCTATGACACGGGAGAGGTGACTGCGAACGCTAAGTACCTTTAATGTGAAAATACAACTTTAGTTTGTTTCTCTTTGGCTGCAACGGTAAAGCAAAGTTTCCCAAGTGTTATATGTCACGAGTGTTTCTTATTTTGTTTGAATGAGCTTGAGCATTTTAAGAAGTTTTTTTTTTTTTTTTTTTTTTTTTTTTTTATGCCTGGACATTTAAAGGGTTGTCAGGTTCTTAGCAGCTGCCTGGAAAAGTGGTGGTGCTTGGGCCAGCAGGGAAGAACCTGGGAAACAATTCCATTTGTGGAGATTGTCTCTTTTGTGGCTTGCAGCCCTCTGCTCGCTGCGTAATGGAATGACCATCCGAATAACCAAGGGCCCTGGAAAAGAGCTGCATTGCTGAGGGCACAGAACCTCTGCTGGCTGGCAAGAAAGGCCCAGGCCAGAACAGGGGGTCCGTTGGATGTGGGATCACTATTGAAAACGTCAGGCAGATTTAGCAACAGCCTCTGCCTCCTTTTCTACACTAGCAGTCAAAGGGAATATAAAACCCCTGTAAACGACTAGAAATCTGGCCATTGTTTATAAACTTGTTGGCTGGGTCCTTGAGCATTGCAAGGGGGAGGCCTCGGATGTAGTTAAAACACTGGAAACCTGAACACTGGAAATGTGCCTGCTTAACTTCATCAGGAGTCGGTACCCAGGGCCACCCCATTTCTAAGCAGTCCCTCTTGTACTCTGGCTATGTCCTCTAGCCCAGAAAGGGCTGACTGAGATAGCAAGGTCCAAGTATCCTCTCTGAACTTCTCTTTCCATTTCTCTCCCCTTTGCCCCTCTTTCTGTTTAGAACGAAATCTTGAAAAGTACAGTGAGCAGCAACGACAAGAAAACCAAAGGCCGGACAGGCTGGCCGCAACACGTCTGGGCCCTGGAACTCAAGCAGTAAAGAGGATCAGGGGAGCTAGGGAGACCAGGCCAAGGCACCAGATGCAGACACAGGACTCCCTGAAAGCCCTCGGGCTTCCTTCTGAGGACTTCTTACAGTTGGATCATCCGGTTTATTTATGTGCAATTTCCTTCCCCCCTCTTTTTGCCCCCCCCCTTTGAGGCATCTGCTCCCCACCTCTCTCTCAAAAAAAGTGGATATTTGAAGAAAAGCATTCCATATTTTAATATGAAGAGGACACTCCCGTGTGGTAAGGGACCCCTGTCATTCTCTGTGTGTGAATGTTCCCTCTTGGCTGTATAGGCATCAGCCTTGTTCCCTCCCCCACTCCCCCAACTCCCTCCAGATAAAGAAGTGGACACTAGTGCGTATGTGAAGTGTATCTTTTTACTGGGCCTTTGGATATAAATATTTCTGGGGGTTATAAAGTTTTATTTCTAAGCAGAAAACAGGGCCGCTAACATTTCTGTAGGGGTCAGTTATCTAGTGCTGTCATTTCAAATGTTGTTGTCCCCTACTCAAAGATGTTTCCACCAGCTACTTGTTTTGTGCACTTCCATCCTCTAAAATTAAGTGGAATTTAATTAATATTGAAGGTGTAAACGTTGTGAGTATTCAATAAACCACTGTGTTTTTTTTTACAAAAAAATAAAACCCTAATCTTTATATGGGTGATACCTCAAAAGAATTTTGAAAACAAAGCTGTTATATTTGTTTTCATAATATTTAAAATATTCAGAAGTAAACTAAATTATCATAATTGCCTCCAACTTCATTTGAAAGAGTCAGTGGTTCTAATCAATCAATATGATCTGAGGCTACCTACATGAAGGAGTGGTTTTATTGAAATGGAGTTGTTCTGGTGAAAATCCTGACCCAAGGCCTGGGCTTTTTTCTATCCAGTGTTCTCTTTTCTTCTTCTCGGAACTCCCAGGAGACCTTTGGGTAGTTTTTAGGAGTTCGTGATTGGAAGAAGGGCCTGTGTTTGCTGCAGAAGGTAGAAGGGTGCCCTTGTTTTATGAGTCTCAATCGAAAACCCTGTGCCTGGTGCTTCGTATTGTGTTTGGGGGAGCGTGTTTCTTCTGTGGAGGAGGTGTGAGGAGAATCCCAGACCTTATTACAGCCACAGGAAATAGTCTGGGGTGTTTAGTTCAAAATATAGGGCTTTCATCCAAGATTTTTTTTTTTTTTAAGAGAGGAAAAAAGTAGAGGAGGGGGTTTTACTTGTCATCTATCTCGGAAGATTCTCATCGGTGTAGGGGTGGTAGGGGAAGGGAGCCTTTTGAAAAAGAGTCTATGATTAGGTAACAAGGAATTTTACGTCAAGTAAGAAATCGCGAACAAGACCACAGATTTAAAGGGGGGCGAGAGGTTGGGTTAGATTTACAAGGAGCTACAGGGAACTCAATATTAACTGCTCTGTGTCTGAAGTCTTCGAAGCTGCAGCCAGAGCAAGTGGACACCTCCCCTTGCCTAACTGCTGCCCAGAACTTAACCCAGTCCTGGGCTTTGCTGTGCCCGTTTCTGTACCCCAGGAGAAACTCCCTGCGGCCCTTCTCTCTCTCTCTCTCTCTCTCTCTCTCTCTCTCTCTATCTCTTCTCTCTCTCTTCTCTCTCTCTCTCTCTCTCTCTCTCTCACACACACACACACACACACACACACACACACACACACGCACATACACGGGGAGGGGGGAGCTTGGCTAGGTAGAGCTTCACCTTTAGTTCTAGAAATCAGAATGCGCTCCTGGGGGTAGAGAACTGGGAAGGAGTGGAAGGATTTCGGGGAGGGAGGAAGGAAGATGAATAAATAGTATTTAAAAGTGGTTTGTTTCATGAAACTCATATCTATAAATCTGGTGTAGTAGAGCCTTACCAAAGGGTTCCGGTCTTTAGCCATCCCAGCGGAGACATTCACACCTTGCCTTCAGGCAGAGACCCACAACTCACTCCTAGCTTCTCTGACCTGGGGTGGTCTGCAGTCAGCTTGAGTAGACCTTTGTGAGTGAGGGTGGGGGTGGGTGTGAGTGGTATTCAGACCTCAGCGGATGGCTGACAACACGAGGGTGAGGGGTTAGAACAACTAGGCCAAAGCGATCTGAACTTTCTCCCCTTAGGTCAGCCGGCGCTGGGCAGACCTGGTGGGCGAGGGTCTGTGTTTACAGACACTTGCCTTTGTTTATAAGTGGGGGAGGTAGGCCAGGTTTCCTGTAGCTCTCTGGATCCTGTCTGTTTGACCAAGTGGCTCTCTCCCTTTGCCTGAAGAGGCCTATTGCACCTTTACATTTAACAGCTCTGGAGGAAGATTCCAGGTTCTAGAGGTAGAAGAAAGGAATCTGAGAAAATGGCAAGAGGAAGGTCTGGTGGTAGTTTAAAGACATTGGTTTTCTTCACCGTGGGCACATGAGCACATGCCTGGGCCTGACTGGTCTTCTCTTTGGGCCTTGATGTACTTCTGGTTTAGTCACCTTTTCTATTTTATTAAACACCAGCACAGGGGAACCAAAAGACCCTAGCACACTGTTCTTAAGTGACTGTCTTACTAATCACCATGTTTTCAGATGGCCATTCTATCCAAGGCCACCCAGCTGCAGAGCCTTCTCTCCCTTCAGCCTGCCAGTACTAGGCCCTGACACCAAATCCACCCCACCCCTCCAACCAGCCAGGGAACCCCACCTGGCTAGAACTGCGGCTGATAGAAAGCGCTAGATGCTCCAGTACCTCGGTGGAACAGCCCCTCTAACTAGCCACCGTCCTGAACTAGCAGGACACTTCAATGTGCAGAACACAGAGATTATCCTTGACCCCAGTCGGGAGTCCCAGCTGTCCCAGCAGTGCCAGCTGCCCAATAATCCTGCAAGCGGCCTTGTCAAAATATCAATGGGGCCAGCAAGAATCTCTGCTGAACTTTACATGCTTTTCTCATCTGCACAACTTCTCTTTTTCTCCTTTGTTTGAAGGCTGGAGAGGGGAAAGACTCCAGGCTCCTGACTGTGGGACTAGCTAAAAGGCCTCTGTTTTAATTGCTCTGATAATGTGTTTGCTGCTATTTTGTTAAGAGCAATCACTCCTGCAGCGAATTCACAAGCGTTCTAGACAGGCCGGAGCCAACAAAAATGTAGGATTTGACGTTAAAAGCTAAATGGGAAGCTGGGGCGCGGAAGGTAAATTGATGGTGGATCTGGCTGTCAGGGCTTGGCCCCAGACCTCCGCACAGGACGTAAAGCCCTGATAACCCTGGAGCACCAGCAGGCAAAGGATCTCTCTCTCTCTCTCTCTCTCTCTCTCTCTCTCTCTCTCTCTCTCTCTGTCTCTGTCTCTCTCTCTCTTTCTCTCTCTTAGGAATGAACCTGGGAACCTCAGGGTGGACCTCAGCCTCCTTCTAGGCTCAATTTTCCAAGACTTTCGCTCCAAGAGAGGCGCACTGACAGCAGCTTCCAGACTGCATGTCCGAAATGACAGCTAGGTCACTGAGCGAACTTCGCTTGCCTCCTGAACCCCAGAGGCACACCGAGGAAGTGGGGAGTCAGGGAGTTCTGGATGGTTCGGCCTATTGGTTGCAGCATTTTCCGTTGTGTACCTCGGGATTTAGGCAGCTTTGCTGGGCTGTAAAAAAAAAAAAAATCTCCTGGGCTTTTGATGTCACCGATGAAAATTGATGTAGGACTGTCACCCGAGACTCTTGGGAAATGTGTCTGCCTAAATTCCAAGTGGAGAGATACCCCAATCCCTGTCCCTCACCTGTGGCTCTGCTGGCTGCTGACTCAAAGCCACGGAGAATCTAAGAATTAGCATCTCCCAGGGTCAAAGTGGGAGGGGGAGACAGGGAGTACTCGAAGATTTCAGATTTCGCAGGAAGAGGTGTGGGAATTAGAAGCGATCTCAAATGCAAAACCATAGGAAGCATGTGGTGCGGGGAGGAGGGGCACCCCTGAGACTTTGGGGAGAAAACTTGGGCCAGGTGCAAGGACCTGAAGTGTATTCGCTAGGACAGCAAGCAGAGAAGAGGATGCCACAAAAACCTGGACTTGCTTTGGAACAGAGGGTCTGAACACTACAGGAATCCACTCTATTATTCCCGGATCTTTAAACGTTCCGCTGTTTCTAAAGTGCGGGTAGTGAGTTTCTCTTCGACCGCTGCCTTACATTTCGCTTGCTTCTCCTAGTGCGTGAGCCTGGAAAAAGGGTTACCTGGTGCATGAGAAACAGACTTGGTTTTAAAAGTGTGTGGCGGCATAAGCCACAAAGACTAGTGAATCTGGGCCTTAGCCTAGCCGCTGCCCATCTAGTCATGATATCTTAACTTGGGAGAACCGGTGTCCCTAAAAGTCAAATCCTCCGGCCCAGATCTCCGCACGAGGAGAGGGCGCTAATGAGTCTCCCCGGCAAATTCCTCTCCTGTCCAGCCCTGGAATCACTAGAACAGAAAGAAAACTCCCAGGAACCTCCCTCAGACTGGGGTTCAGAAATCAGCTGGAGACCCCAACAGCCTAAGAGGTTCAATGAAGCAATGGATTGCTGTTGTAGAGATTATCGGGGTGGGGGTGGGGGAACCCATTAGGTATTTTTAACTGTTTGAAAGAGGAAGAAGGGGGCTGCTCAAAAGAGGAAACCAATCCCACGTTTCCGGGGGCCGGACAGTTCTAAGAGCGCCGCCTCACCACCCAGACGCTGCGTTACTACGCGTAGCAACGGTCTGCTCAGTTCTAAGGAGCCTGTGACCGCTGAGGGGCTTCAGCCGGCCTCCTAGACGTTAACGTAACGGAGTCCGAAACTCCTGAGCACAGTTCTAAACTCCCCCAGGGGTTCTCACCGTTCCACCCTGCCCAAGACTGTTCTCATCCATGAGCGCGAGCAACCAACCTCCTGCACCACAAACATTCCCTCCAAATTTCTCCCGGCATTTGGGCCCCTTTGATGATCAGATGCTAGAGCCCTGATTACAAATTTATTCCCGGCCTCTCTGCCCGTCTTTATCTCTGCTATTAGGGACATCTGGGAGTGATTAGTGCCGCGCCTGCGCCCGGCCGCGCTCTCCTATCTCGCCGCAGCGGGGCCCACAGCCTCGTTGACGTCAGGGCAGACGGCTCGGAGCCATCCCAACAGAGCTGGGTGTAATCGGCTGCTGAGCGGCCAAGTCCTCCCGGGG